CAGGTCTTGCTAAAGTTACCCAGGTTGGGCTCAAACATGTAATCCTCATGGCTCATCCTCTCATCGTACCAGGATTTGAAGCATGCACCACTATGCCTAGCCTATGAGAAGCCTTCTCAGCTCTCCTGTTACCTGCCCAGTTCTGGCCTGCACTGATCATGTGCCTGTTTACCCAGCTCTCATGTCCTGGCCCAAAGGGTGGCAGTGCCTGGTGAATGAGGACTAACTTGTGAACATATTCCAGAAGTCACATGTTGGCCAGGTCGCCCTGCAAATGTTTGTGGCACTCTTCTCTAAATGAGAAGTGAGTACCCTTGTCTATCCTGGTTAAATATTACTGTCTGTCCTGGTTAAATATTAAATATTAAGAAAATGTAAGGAAAGTGTAGAGTTCAAGTTCACATGAGTCTCTGACCAAGTTCTTCTTCTTTTTTTGTACTGGGAATTAAACTCAGGACCTTGCACTTACCAGGCAGGAGCCGTGCCACTGAGCTACACCCCCAGCCCTGCCAGGCCTCTCGTGTGAACCACCTATAGGAACAGCTCCATCTGGGCAGCTGTGTGCAGATGAGTGTTAAGGTCTAAGAGCCTTGACATTTTCAGTTTTTTTAAGACAATGTTCTGTGGCATCGGGAGGTTCTCCCAGGTCCACTGGCAGTTCTGAAAATTCCCAACGTGACAGTCAGGCTGCAGCAGTCCAGCTCTGGGAAGCGACAAAGCCTTCAGTGTCTGTGCGGGAGGAACAAAGTTACCTAACTTTGTTCACACCCCAGTCAGTTTCCGCCACCACTTTCTCCTCCCACAGGAAAGAAGCGTTCCAGTCCTTGGGAAGGAGCCACAGTACTGAGATTATCTCTTAACGTGTGAAAGTGAGATTGTGTGACTTGGCAGGTCTGCGGCTAAGGGCCCCACTCTGTTCAGCATCACCACCTCTGCCAGTCCCCTCCCAATTGGTGCCCGGTCTGGGGAAATCTGGCAGAGGTGCCTCAGAGGAAGGTGGCCCGGGGTAGTGTGACTTTTAGTGGTGTTCTGAGAAATGAAGGAGATCATATAATGCCTCCTTATAGCTCTCCACCTCTTTATCATCTGTCTTAGCGAAACTTTTGGAGGCAAATACCCCTGCAATCATGCAGAAGCAGGGTCTGAGCACCGAGAGTACACAGCAGGCGGGCCACAACTGACAGGGAAATTGGGGTGTGCCGCTGGAGGTTGGGAAATGGCTGCTTGGCTTGCAGCTTCCTGCTTCCTGCTGGAAGTTTGGTAAGCCTCAGCCAAGCTCTCGGGCCTTAACTTTCAACTTACAGCTCCTGCTTAGCAAGAAGTTCTAAACCCCAACTGCAATTGACCACGAGGAATGGTCAGAAAAGCCTGTGCTCACATTGTGGGGCAGGGGAAGAAGCAAGGGCCTGAGAAAGACTTCAGATGAGGAAGGCTAGGTATAGATGCACTGGAAATTGTCCTGGCTCGGCCAAGACTGAACAGAAACAGGGTTACATAGCTGAACAACTTTCGAGAAATGCCAGGCAAATAAAGCTGAGCAGATATCTTAATTGGAGGACTTCTCAGATCCCTGACCAAACTAGTAGGACTTTTTGATCTTCAACAAAAAGATGCTCAAGGGGCTGGGGAGATGGCTCAATAGAATAAGCACTTGCCTGGCAAGTGCAAGGGCCTGAGTTCAATCCCCAGCTCCGCAAAAAAAAAAAAAAAAAAAAAAAAAAAAGCTCAAATCTGTCTGACCACAGATCTTGAGCACCTTCCAAGAATGGCATGATTCAGAACAGAACTCGATCAGGAGTGGTGATGCATGTCTATAAGCCCAGCACAGAGGAGGCTGAGGCAGGAGGATTGACAAAAGTTTGAGGCCAACCTGAATTATATATCAAAATTTTGTTATACTCACACACACAAAAGCACATATATGGGGCTAGGGGTGTAACTCAGAAGTGAAACGGGCTCAGTAGGTACAAGACCTGGGTTCAATCCTCAACACACACACACACACACACACACACACACAAAACCCACAATGAAATCTAAAATGATTCTTAAAACATAAATAAAATAAAATGATTTTAACTCCTAACGCTGGGGGCGGGAAGACACTCTGCTTATTCTAATTTGTAACACTCACTACTATTCGTACTCTCATTTCAAGAACAGTGAAAATAAGCCAGGGATGGTGACACATACCTGTTATCCCAGAACTCTGGGATGCTTAGGCAGGAGGATCACAAGTTTAAGCCTAGCCAGGGCAATTTAGCAAGACCTGTCTCAAAAGTGTAAAAAGGGCTGGATTTGTAGTTCAACACTTCCTGGGTTCAATCCCCAATACTGGGGATGAAGGAGAAGTTGGGTATGGTGGCACACACCTGTAATACTAGTGCTAAGGGGGCTGAAGCAGGAGAATTACAAGTCTGAGTCCAGCCAGAGCTACTAGCAAGTTCAGAATGGTCTGGATTACATAGCAAGATCTCATCTCACTAAAAAATAAAAAGATGATAGTGGTGATAATCTTACATTCTTTCCTTGGCTGGCCTAAAATAACTCCAATGTCTGATATTCAAAAACTTTTAAAAACAGCACAGTCCTGGGAATGAGGCCCAAGTCTGGCCCCTTTCCTGCTAATTTGAAGGTGACTCTCAATTCTTAGTTTCCAAATTGCTAAATGGAAAAGGATAGATTTCTAAGAATATTCCCAGTTCCAAGTGTCACCCACAGACTCTGAACATTAAAATGTATTTTTTACAATCCACCATGATATAGCATGACAGAAAAAAGTGACTTTTCTGGAGGCTGGCTAGGTGTGACAGTTCCTGAGTCTGTCGCCTCCCCACCTGCTCTCTCCTGAGCTCTGTGCCAACACCCTGGGTAAAGGAAGCTGGGCTCACACCCTGTCACTCATGGGCTGCACCCTGCCAAAGTCCCAGCACCAGTAGTCATGAAGCAGACACTTATGTCTTACAGGAAGCGAGGGCCACTCTGACCAGGAGAAGGAGCTCAGAATCTGCACAACCAAAGCTGCTGCTCCTCATGCTAATGTGTGCCAAGGATTAAAATTCAGCGCAGGATGAGGGGCATGGTATTGCAGCCAGCTAGGACCTTGGCTTCCCTCACAGGATTGCCGACCAGCTGCTGCTGGTTTACAGACCAGCAGCTGCTTCCTGTCCTGCCACATCCCCGAACTGCCTGACAGACTGTCTTCCTTGAATGGAGAAGTTACTTTCCCTGGAGTTTGCACAATCATCTCTGGGTCTGTAGATGTGGTTTAAGACTTCCAAGGAGCTATTATTAATACAGGGCAGGATGATGATGATTCTGCCCATTGCCCACACTGAAGAAAAGCTCCCTGCATCTTTGGGCAGCTGACTGCTTCTGATGTCAGCAGAAAATTTACTGAATTCCAACAGGACCAAAAAAAAAAGAACATCACCACACACCACACTTCAAAAGCCTGTTTGATCCTTGCTAAAGTCCAAACCCCAGTATTATATAGCAGTTTTGTAATCAAAGCAAAAATTACCTGAAGACACTGACATACACAAAAAATGTAAATGTTCTTTCCTTACTCAACAGATGTCTGTTTGCTTTACATAAGAGACAAGGTCTTTGCAAAGGTCCTGTCAGAAAGCATTAAGCTAGAAGAGGAATATTTAGGATTCCCCAGTCTTAAAAGGAACAAGCTACTGAAATGTGCCTGGAGGATTCCCATTGGCTAGGTCACCTTTTTTTTTTTTTTTTTTTTTTGGTGGAACCGGGGATTGAACTCAGGCCCTTGTGCTTGCCAGGGAAGCACTTATTCCACTGAGCCATCTCCCCGGCCCAGCTAAATAACCTTGAAACCAAGAAAGCAACCTAAAATTTCCATTCTCCTGACAGTGGTAATAACTTAGCTCAAGCCTTCCCCGCCTTTGCCCTGACCCTGAAAGGGACAAATTCATGGGGGAAAGCACACTCTGTGACTCACAGGAAGGACCCCTTCAAGGACTGGGTGGGAGTGGGGGCCTGGAAACTCCCAATGGCCTTAATAAAGTACAAAGAGGATGATTTCTCATGCCTGGTGACATCTTAGCAGAACAGAAGTATCAGGGCTCATTAATTGCCAGTCAGCACATGCAAGCGTCCCTAGAACTGGTTTTGGCGAGGCAGAAAGAGGTGATAAGACGCCCTGGAGCTAACAGGAGCCCAAGCTCTTCTCCACAAGTGACCAGCTCTGTGCTCTCCGCTCTAAGGCAGGTTTGAACTTCAGAAAGATCATTTCTTCCTTGACGGTTTGTTCCAAAGGTCAGGGCAGCTCACAAATTAGTGCATCACAGCAACACTGCACCACACACACGGGCCAAGACTCTCTCAGAGCCACCTCTCTTCTCTCCTAATTCATCGCCAAGGTGTGAGGTTTTTATTAAGACCATCTTCCAACTTAAAAGCAGCTGAAAGCTACAAACCTAGGCCTGCCTGACTCCCCTCTAGCAGCCTTTTTTTCCCGATCAACTGCAAGGACTGTCCTACATTTTATACGCTACTCTGGCTGCTGCTGGTAGAGGGGTCTTTAGATTCTCCCACATTTCTTCGTGCCAGTAGAAACTTCTACTTCATTTTGTTGTCACCCTCTTTAAGGTGGCTCAAGACAGGTGTCTTTCCACGACTAAAGGAATGTGATAGCCACATTTCGCCTCTCTCTCCGATGCGAGAGGTGCTCCCTGCGAGTCCGACTGTAACCGCGCCAGACTCCTTCCCCAGCAGCGCCAGCCATGGAGCTACGACCCCCCACCCCCACCCAAGCGCTGGGAGATCGCAGTGCATCCAGCTACAGCGCCCCGCCCCTCTGCAGAACCACCTGCTAGTCCCGCCCCCCAGCCGCTAGGATAGGCTAGCCTTCAAAGCGCGCTCTCCCATTGGACACAAAGCCCGTCCCTCCTACGCCACGTCTCCAGACTGGCGAAAGAGGCCGGGTCTGTGGCCCCTAGCCCTAGAGAGATCTGTGAATTAGGGGGTCTTACCTGGAAAGGATTTACGTCCACTGGGTCCGCGAAGGGGTTGGTGTCAAAAGCAGACATGGTGGTCGGGGCTTGGGGGGCGAGCTCCCTGAACGCTGCTGCCTCCCGGCGCCCAGACCCAGCGGCACTGAGGGCAGACCCTCCACTTCCGGGAATAAGCAACACTTCTGACGCAGGCGCAGTAGCTTGCTAGGGGGGTGTGGTCCATGACGTCACAGAGATCCGCTCGCCCCGCCCACTAGAGAGGGTGGTGGGCATTCCGTTCCCTTCTGGGGAGCTTGTGGTCTGAGGACTGAGGACCGAGAAATTGGGATGCCGGAGGCAGGATCAGAGATATTCCTGAACGTTGCTCACTCTGCTGCCCGCCAACTCTGTAACTCTAAATTCCCAAAAGTGGATCAAGAAATGTAACTTCTTCCTTTCCCCAGAGGGCAAGTTGGGAAGTCTACACAGACTAGTGATAAAACCTACTCATCGGGTTGTCTCCAGAACTGAAGAAAAAAATAATCTCGTCTTCTCATACTTTCCCAGTCAGCATACTTCTGCCCCCAGATATATGCGGGTTTGTTTTCCTACACACAAAGCAATTCTCCAGCAGATGCCAACTGGTGTCCTAATCCTCAATTCGATTGAAACTGGCCACAGTTTGAGACAGGAGTCCCACATCTGTCCCATGCGGTGATCATCCCCCTAACTCAGATGCTAATTCCAGCCCTGCTAATTGTATTCGCTTCCTCCTTCCTCTCTCTCTCTCTTCCTTCTTTTCTCTTCCTCCTCCTCTTCCTCTTTGCTTCATCTCCTTCACTGTGTACTGAACTATGGCCTTCACGTTGACTTCCAGTCTTCAACCCCCCTCTCTTTTAGAAGCAGGGTCTTCATAGGTTGACCAAGCTGAGCTTGAACTTTTGTGATGCTCAGTTCAGCCTCCCAGAGCGCTGGGATGACAGATGTGCACCAAGATGCCAGGTCCTTACCTGTGCTTGACTGAGTGGCTGTAAATCAGTGTTCTCAAGGTCCTCTCCTTAGGATCAACACATTTGCTGGAGTGGCTCATAAACTCTAGCAAACATGTTTGTCAGTTTATTATAAAAGATGTTACAGGGCGGGGAGATGGCTCAGTAGAATAAGTGCTTGTCTGGCAAGTGCAAGGGCCTGAGTTCTGTCCCTGGATGTTACAAAAGGTGTGAACAAGCATCAGATGGGACAGATGCACATAGGAAGGTGGTGCAGCTTTAACACCCCCTGCAGAGCACCTCCCTCTAGGGACCTCCCTGTGCTTGGCTAACTGGAAGATCCCTAAATCCAGATTTTTGTTGTTGTCCTTGTATTAGTTTTTTGAAACAGGGACTCACTATGTAACCCCAACTGGGTTTAAATTTATTATGTAGCCCAGGCTGACCTCAAACTTGCAGTGAACCTCCTGCCTCAGCTTCCCAGAGTTGCTGGGATTACAGGTGTGCATCACCACACCATTAGTAGTTTTATTTTTTGTGGAGGCTTCTTTACATACATAATTATCTTATTGGCCTTCGGTGACCAATTCAGCCTTCAGCCCATCTTCCCTCCCTACAGATTATGAGGTTGAAGCTGAAAGTGTCAACCCTCTAATCACTTGTTTGTTCCCCTGGTAACCAGTTCCCAATTTGTAGGCCAGCTTAGGCTACATAGTGAGACCTTGTCTCATACACACACACACACACACACACACACACACACACACATACACACACACCAAAAACCCAAAAGCAGAGTGGAAGATTCTAGGTTACAACATTCTATATGTATGTGGTAGGATATAGGGATGGGGCTCTGAGTGCCTCAGTAATCTAAATTATTCTTTCTCTTCACAGGAAGATTCTGAGGAAGTGGCAGTAGGTCTGGTTTCTGTGGTGGGTGGTACCATGATGGGGGTATGTCAAGAACTTCTGCGCCCAAGCTGGGAAGCAGAGTCAGGAAGATCAGTCCAGCCTGAGTGATTTAACAAAACCCTGTCACAAAATAAAAAATATTTAAAAATAAATAAAAAATATTTTTAAACAGGGCGGAGATGTATCTCTGTGTGAAGGTCCTGGGTTAAGCCCCAGTGGCGAGTGCGTACACACACACACACACACACACACACACACACACTATTCAAAAGCAGTAGGAACTTGAGTTGGCTGTTCCTGTGATTGTCTATTACCTTTCCTGAATGAGAAAGTTTCTTGGAAATGTAGGCTGATTTACCTAAGTCAGAGGACCCCAGAGAGACTATTGTCCCACACCTGGGCACAACTTCACAGAGAAAACCTTATTTTCTCTTTCCCTTAGACACATGTGCAGAAGGCTGTGGAAATGGGGGAGAGAGGTTGGGGGTTGGGACTGTCACCCTGCATTCCAGTTCCCCAGAGCTTGGGGTTATGCTCCTGGTCCCCCCAGCGGGCTCTTCTCCTCCCAAGCTGCTGACAAACAAGATAGGAACATCAGAACCTTCTTTTTTTTGAATCTGGAATTACCAGGCACACCATGACACTGAGCTATGTTCTTGTCGCCTGTCAGAGCCTTCTCCGCAAGGTTACTCCATGGCCAGGCCCAGCCCAGCCTTTCTCAGGCAGTGTTCCTGATTCTTTTGACTTTCTGAAGGACATTATTATTCCTTTCAAAGAGGAGGATGGGCTGGGGAGATGGCTCAGTGGAATAAGCACTTCCCTGGCACGCGCAAGGGCCTGAGTTCAATCCCTGGTTCTGCAAAGAAAGAAAAAAGAGGATGACACCAAAGCAGGCAAAAGCATGGCTGTGGCATTTACCAACATCATTAATCAGTCCTTTCTCACATCTCAGCAGTAACCCTCTCCCCACAGTAGCCTTCAGGGTCCTGTCCACTGCCACTCCTCCCCCTACACTCTTTGCTCTGCCACTCCTGTTATTTGCTGTAGCTGTGCTCTTTGCCTGGACCACTCTTCCCTCCTCCTCCAAGCTGTGTCAATCTGCCTTAATGGGACTTCCCTAGGGCTGGTCAGATAGCTCAGTGGACTAAAATGCCTGCTTAGGCAGAGCACAGTGGCTGGTGGCATGCAGTGCCAGCCCCATCCCCGGGGTGCACTGAGACGGAGATTGAGACTGGGTGTGGTGGCACGCACCTGTAATCCCAGCGCTTGGAAGGCTGAATACAGGAGAATCACTACAAGTCTGATCTACATAGTGAGACCTTGTAGGCCTTGTGCTAAATTTTAAAAAATAAAATAATATTCACCTCCTAAATTCTGCAAACTGTGCCCACACTCACCTACCCACCAGATTACATGATTTCCTTTTTTTTTTCCTGCAGAACTAGGGATTGAACTCAGGCCTTGCGCTTGCCAGGGAAGCACTTATTCTACAGAGCCATCTCCCCAGCCCTGATTTCTTTTCTTTCTTTCTTTTTTTTCCAGAATCGGGAATTGAATTGAGGCCCTTGTGCTTGCAAGGCAAGCGCTTATTCTACTGAGCTACCTCCCTGGCCCCTGATTTCCTTATTAAACGTGTTTGTCTATCTTCCCTCCTTCTCCAGAATGGAAAAACTTACAAAGGCAGCATAGTGCCATCTTGTTCTCCTTGGATTCTACAGCACTACCTGCCCCACCCCCAGGTACAGTGCTGGGATTACAGGCATGCGCTATCACACCTGACTCCTGCACCCACTGGAATACTCCTTGCTGCTGGCTGCTTCAGTAAATCTGTGCAGAAGACCGGCCTAGTGGTGCAGGCCTACAATGCCAGCACTAAGGAGGCAGAGACAGGAGAATGGAGGTAATTGGAGGCTAGCCTGGGTTATGAGTTCAAGATCAGCCTAAACTATATAGTGAGACCCTGTCTCAGACTAAATAAAACAAAGTAAAACAAAAAACAACCTCCAAAAACATGTAAGGGAGAAGTAAGGGATCCTTACACCCAAGATGAGAGCTCTTCACGCGCAGAATCAGAGGATCCAGAACTAGACTAGGGGGGCTAGAGGGGGGGGGGGGTGGAAGGGACTACGTTTCCCATGAAACCCTGCGCGCGACCCGCGGGCGCTGCTGGGAAGAGCGACGTGCCGGTAGCCAGGTCGGCAGCCAGATTGGCTAACAGAATGGCTGGGCATCGAGGTGAGCTGTCCGCCGGGGCAGAGGGCGGTGGTGGGCGCATCCCGGGCAGTAACACCAACCACACCTGACGGAGCACTCAGCCCTGCGGCTCCGAGGAAGATGAGTGGGTGGGTGGGTGGAATAGAGGAGAGACCCTGAGGTGGGGGGCGGCGACCATCGAGTTCCCCTGCCCCCCGCTTGGCTGCTCGTGGGTCCGTGGACACAGAGAGTGGTGGGCGAGCTCCTCCTGCACCTTCTCTGAACCCCAGCACGCAGGTGAGATCCCCATCTGTGGGGGGCTCCCATTTGTGGGAGGCTTGCAGAAGAAAGGGATCTCACCTCACAACCTTCAGACCCGGATTCTTGGGCCGGATCTGAAGTGCGGCCAGGAACTGACACCTGTCTGTCTCCCAGTGTTCCCACTTTCCTGTGTGGTGCAGCAGTATGCCTGGGGGAAGAGGGGCTCCAACAGCGAAGTAGCGCGGCTGCTGGCCAGCAGTGACCCGCTGGCCCATATCTCAGAGGACAAGCCATATGCAGAGGTGAGATGGTGGGCTGGGAAGAGAGTACAGCAGGGACCAGGATGCCCCCTTGGCTCTTCTGATCGACCCGAGTATGTCTACAGACTGGATGATGACAGCCTTCCTCAGTACCTTTCTCAGTACCTGATGAATTTTAATTCAGCCCCCTTAGTGATTCTTCTGTTTTCAGCCTCCCAAGTGCTGTGATTACTTTTATTTTTATTTTTACTTTTTGTCTTTTTTTTTTTTTCTTTTTAATTTAGGACAGGGTGTACAAACTAAGGGTCTCACTGCGTAGATCAGACTTGTAGTGATTCTCTAGTTTATAGCCTCCCAAGTGCTGGGATTACAGGTGCACACCACCACACCCAATCGCAGTCTCAGCAGGCCTGGGGATAGAACTCCTGGCCCCTGTGTCTGCTTAAGCAGGCGCTTAATCCACTGAACTATTTGGCCGGCCCTTACTTTCTGTCTTTTTGAGACAGAGTCTCACTACTTAGTTCAGGCTGGCCTTGAACTCGCTTTATAGCCCAAACTGGGCTCAAACTAACAATGATCCTCGTGCCTCAACCTACTGATTGCTGGGATTATAGGCATATGCCACCATGCCTGGTTTACTTTTACATTTTTTACTTTGAATAACTTTTGCATCTTTATTAACCTAAAGGATAATTCTTTCTGCCTATTTAGTGGATAAAATGCTAAAGCCTAGGAAAAGGGCCACCCTCTCAGGACCTCTTTTAGAAATCTAGTAGTGGGTTGGGGAGATGGCTTAGTAGAATAAGCGCTTCCTTGGCAAGCACAAGGGTCTGAGTTCAATCCTCAGTTCTGAAAAAAAAAAAAAAAAAAAAGGCTAAGAAATCCAGTAGCTATTACTCTTGTTATTTCCAGTAAAAACTTGCTTAACCTTAAAAAAAAAAAAAAAAAAAAGGCCAAGCAATAAATGTGTCTGAGAGTACAGTAGATGAATTTTAGTCCCTCACAGAGTCATTTGAGAATCATGGCTTTGCACTGACCTTGACAGTGCAGGTGTCATTCTCCTCACTTGATAGACAAGAAGAGTTGTGCTAGCAAAGGGAAGTAATTAAGCAGAAGGCTCTAGAGCTGAATAGAGGCAGAGCCTGGACTAGGGCGTGGGTCTCCAAGGTCAGCTGTGTCCCTAATGGTGTGAGCATGTATACCCAGACTGACTGCCCCGTGGGAGCATAGCACATCTTGGGTCCTGTGACTAATGGTGCTGGTGCTTCCTCCACACTGCAGCTGTGGATGGGAGCACACCCCCGGGGCGATGCCAAGATTCTTGACGACTACATCTCACAGAAGACACTGGGCCAGTGGATTGCTGAGAACCAGGATTGCTTGGGTTCAAAAGTCAAAGATGCCTTTAATGGCAAGCTGCCCTTCCTCTTCAAAGTACTCTCAGTGGAAACAGCCCTATCCATCCAGGCACACCCCAATAAGGTACAGGGTCCTTTGGGGTGCAGAGGGCAGTATGAACACAGGCTTGTTTCACAGCTCTTCTATGATTTCTGCTGCTTTTACCCCGCCCATACCAAGCTCTAGCCCAGATCTAAATGCGGGTCTAAAGACTCTTAATTTAGCTCTGCAAAGCCCTATGCAGGTGACACATGTAGTAGCCAAGTTCCACTGGGCAGCAGACCAGCCTTTGCTAGAGCAGTTTCTCTGCACTTGTTCCTGGGAAGTTGTTTCTGGTCTCCCCTCTACCAGCGCAGGTCTGTCATATTTACCATCTTCCTATGGGACTCTCAGAAGAGTTCAGTTTCCAAGGCAAGGGTAGCACCCTATCTGTGGCCTCAGCTTCAGCCCTGCAGAGTTCTCCTATACCAGCCCCTGAGGCCTAGCCCAAACAAGTACCTGTCCAAACGTATTTTAGATAGGTAGCGACAGATCCAGTGAAGGGATGGATTTACCCAAAGTTGCTCAGTTTGTCAGTATCAGAGCTTGTCAGCTGTGGTCAGGATTCACCGGCCACACCTCTTACTAAAGTCTGCCCAGCTCTCCTCCAGATTTGGCCTGTTTCCCTGGCTAAACCCCAAGTTTCTACATCATGTCTTGCTGGGTTCCTTGCCAGAGATCTGAAGCCACTGTTGGCCGGCAGCAGGGAGGGTGATAATCAGGGACTGGTGAGCTTGGTGTTCCCACCAAGTGACAGCTGTACCCCACCATCCACAGGAACTGGCAGAGAAGCTCCACCTCCAGGCTCCACAGCACTACCCTGATGCTAACCACAAGCCAGAGATGGCCATTGCCCTCACCTCCTTCCAGGGCTTATGTGGCTTCCGGCCTGTGGAGGAGATCCTGACCTTTCTGAAGAGTAAGGTTGGACGGAACACCAAGAGCATATGTACTGACTCTGGGATGTACTGGGGACCCAGGCCAGGGAAAACTGATAAGGGACAGAGGCTGATGGTTGTGTCACAGGGCCTGAAGGTTGTGCTCATGCAAGTTTTGGGAGCCAGGCTCGGGCATGCTTCATGGTTTGCTTAGTGTGGCCTGGGTCCTTGCTTGGGCAGGGCTGGGAAAGCCTCCTCCTGTTCCTCACTACTGTGCCTGAGATAGCCCTGGCCTGGCTTCTTGCAGAAGTGCCTGAGTTCCAGCTCCTAATTGGGGACAGTGAGGCCACACAGCTGAGACAGAGTGTGAACAGCGACCCCCAGACGGTGGCTTCCGCTCTGCGCAGCTGCTTCTCCCACCTGATGCAGAGCGAGAAGAAGACAGTAGTGGAGCAGCTCAATATATTGGTGAAACGCATCTCCGAGCAAGGTAGGTTTGATGCCCTGGTCTGGGGGCCTGTGAGGCACGGGACAAGATTCTCAGCTCCTCTGTGCAAGTGAGACACTGAGAGGAGCCCAACCTGGTTGGCTTGTTGGCCATGCTGTTCTCTTCCCATCTTTGGGGAACGAGGCCTTGTTGGGCAGGTTTTTGCAGGTAGGGAGGTTGGCTGGCCAGAAGACTCTTCCAATGTCTTCTGCTGGCTGCTTCCCATTGACAAGTCTTGCACTGGGAAACTGACAAGCAGGAAGGGGACAAAGCTGTGCTCTGGAAGATGGATGCCTGGCGCTACCAGCCATCAGCCCTTCTTACACACTCCTGCAGCCCTAGCCTGCGTGAAGGAACACTGAGTTCAGGAAGTGACCACAGTTTTAAGGTGTGGCCATGTTGCCTTGGACAGAATTGATACAAACATTAGGAACATAGGCAGAGCCCAGCATAGTGGTGTACACTTGTAATCCCAGTACTCGGGAGGCTGGGGCAAGAGGATTGTAAATTTGAGACCAGCCTGAGCTACAAAGTGAGCTCAAGACCAGCCTGAACTGCATAGCAAAACCCTATCTCGGGGCTGGTGAGATGGCGCAGTGGTCTAAAGCATCTACTTAGAACAAGCTAAGCAAAGCACAGGGACCGCGGTTCAATCCCCCAGCACCACATGCCAGCCAGCCCCGCCCCCTGGTGGGCTGAGCTGGCCACACACACACACACATACACACAAATAAATAAATAAATAAATAAAAAACCCTATCTCAAAAAGACAAAAAAAAAAAAAAAAAAAAAGCACAGGCAGATAGATGCCCAGCTGTGAACCAACTTGACTACTAAGGCCTTTCCTGAGATGATGGGACTTTCAGTACTAAGAAAGAGAAAATCCCAGGCTCATGGGGAGCTTGTCACCCACAACTACAATTGTGGTTCTCAATCGGGATGTTGGCAGTCAGCCAGAGGCTTTAGTTGTCAAAGCCTGGACTGGGAGTGCTAGAGGTATCTTGTGGATGGAACTGAGGATGCTGCAGGGAACTAACAATGCATAAGACACTCCTACAACAAAAAACTGTCCCATCCAGGACCAGTTGTGCCAAGGTTGATTTTGTCTTGGAAGGTCAACACTTGGCCCTTCTAGAGGCCAGTGCAGTGCCTGACATGCAAGTGTCTGTGTGGTGAGAGTTGGCATCCATGTAGGTGGAAGGCCAAGGAAAGACAGAATCCACTTGACAAGACTCTCAGCCCTCCTGGGGCTGAGAACACCACCAGCTGTCATTAAGTGTTGTGGATACTTTGTGACCCTCAGTGTCCACTGGGAACAACATGGATGACATTTGTGGAAAGCTCCTACTTCGACTACACCAACAGTACCCAGGGGACATTGGCTGCTTTGCCATCTACTTTCTGAACCTGCTCATGCTGAAGCCGGGAGAGGCCATGTTTCTGGAGGCCAACGTGCCCCATGCCTACCTGGAGGGAGGTGAGCCCCTCGCCCTTGCCTCAGGGGCTCTGGCTGCCCATCTGGACAGAAAAGGACAGAGTGGTTGGGGAGGCTTTCACCCAGCTGACCCGAGGATACCTGGGCTCAGCAGTGAGTGGCTAGTAGGGATGAAGGCTGGGCTGGTGGTGGATACTGCTTGTAATTTTCCATAATGTGAAGTTGATACTCTGACATTAGGCCTGACAGGGAGCATGGGAAATCCCCCCCTCGTTCCCATGTCTATCCTATGGACCAGGGGACCATATTTTTTTCATATTAAATAAATGTGTTGCTAAACAGCATGTCACATTTTGAATACTAGCGAGCCCACTGCTACACAGAGCTCTGCAACAGAAGTGGGAGATAAGTCACAGATCAGGGGCTCCTCAGGGTTAACGTGGCTCCCCCTAGCCATAGCAGTGTCCTGTTACCTACTTTTGGTGTCTGATATCTTAGCATCACCATGATGGAAAATGCCCTTCACCTGTTTTCCCTAATGCTGTAGGGGGTTCATGGAGCTCAGATTAGGAGCCCAGCCCTGAAGCACCAGACTCTGAGGCATCAGCTTAGCATGTGACATGTCTGTCCTCAGATTGCGTGGAGTGCATGGCATGTTCGGACAACACAGTGCGCGCTGGCCTGACACCCAAGTTCATTGATGTGCCAACCCTTTGTGACATGCTGAACTATACCCCTAGTCCCAGCAAGGACAGGCTCTTCCCACCATTGCAGAGTCAGGAAGACCCCTACCTCTTCATCTATGACCCCCCAGTGCCAGACTTCACCGTGATGAAGATGGAGGTGAGAGGGGTATTATGGGTGCAGCATGACCAACCTGGATAGTGGTCACAGTGCAGTGTACCTGTGGCCGGCCGGATGTCCTTTCTATCCAGCTCACCTGGATGGGGGCAGCAATCGGGTCTATCCAGTCTGTTCCAGGGATAGGCTTCCATGCTGACAAGAACCTGAACGATGGGGAGGTAGTGGCAGGGCTGTCCTGGCTACTGTGGAAGTCATCCTAAACCTGAGTGGAGCCAACTCTGGCTGCACTGTCTAATGTTTCTTCCTGCGCAGGTCCCCAGCTCTGTCACTGAATATAAAGTCTTGGTGCTAGACTCTGCCAGCATCCTCCTGGTGGTGAAGGGAGCAGTGACAGCCAGCTGGCCCACAGCCCAAGCTGCCATCCCTCTGCAGCGTGGTGGGGTGCTCTTTATTGGGGCTAATGAGTGCGTCACATTGAAGCTTACTACACCCCAGGACCTGCTGCTATTCCGGGCCTGCTGTCTGCTGTAGCAGCCACAGCCCTCCCAGCTGGTCACCAGCCCAAGCCCTTTGCTGCTCTGCAGTCCAAGCACACTCGAGAACACAGCAGCTTCAAGCTTGCAGGTTGAGACTCCAGTACATGCTCAGCCTGAGCCATCTTTGGGATACACTCCTGACTCATCACTTCTTGCCACACTCAAGCCAGGCCATGTCAACTCCAGAGGTCCTAGCTCTGTGCCTTCCACTGCATCAGGCTGTCTGGTGACACCTGTGGTCCTGACTTTGCCCAGCACCTGGCAGGAGGCTAAGAGCAGAGGTCTCGCCTAGGGCTGCTTTCTCCAGCTTCAGAGGACTATGGGAAGGGCTGGAGGACTTGCCGTGTTGGCAGCCGCCTCTACTGTCCAGGCAATTAAAGCTTGCTGTGTCCAGGCTGTGAGCAGAGCATTCATTCTGTGTTCTGTCCCTGCAGTAGGCTGGAAGAGCCCTCCCTGGATGGTACCCAGGTTTTCCTTGGTTCCTCCTCAGTCAGTTCCTGGGGGTGGCTGGCCCAGCTCCAGAATCTGCAATGGAAGGAGTGGGCGAGGAAGCCAGCCTCAGCCTCAGCTGCACATTTGCAGGCAGGCCTCAACGGAGAGGCAAGTTGAAGGGTGATCAGCCAGCAGTGTGAGACCCTACTGAGCATGGGTAGACACTCTAGGGGTTGGCCAGCCAAGGCCTGTGGGTGGTAGGCAAGCACTCTGCCACTGAACTAAAATTGCTGGCTGGCAACCCTGCCAGAAAAACTTGCCAGGAGCCGGTGAGATAGCTCCCGAGTTTAATCCCTGATTCCACAAAAAAAAAAAAAAAACCTTTCCAACCTCTTTAAACAGATCCAGTCGTCATAGACTAAAGGGCCTTGGGAACAGAATCATCCTGTTTGGTCCCTCTGGCTGGGACCCTGCAAATCTCTGGCTTGTCTTGATCTTGTCATTCTAAACTAAGCAGACCCAGGCTACTGGCTCTCCCTCCCTATAGAATATGGACTCAGGAAGCTTCTGCACACACTAGAACCCCCATAAATAAAAAGTTCCAGGAAACAACCTTAAAATAGGTTTGGGTAGCTAGGTGTAGTGGTGAATGCCTGTAGTCCTAGCATTCTGGGAGGCTGGGACAGGAGCATCTCAAGTTTGAGCCCAGCCAGGATAACTTGACAAGATCCTATCCCAGAAAGAAAAAAGGGCCATGGATGTAGCTCAGAGCAAGGTCCTGGGTTTGAGCCCTAGTTTTTTGCTGGGTATGGTGGTACATGCCAGTAAATTGCTGCACTTGGGAGGCTGAGGCAGGAGGGCTGCTTGAATTTGAGGCCAGCGTGAACTGTATAGTGAGACCCTGTCTCAAAAAGACAAGAAGTTCCCTCATTTTTATTAAATCTATTTGGTACAGGGTCTCACTATGCAGCTTAGACCTATAGTGATCCTCTTGTCTCAGCCTCCCCAGCATTGGGGGTACAGTTGTGCGCCACCACACCTAGTTTCAGAGGCCTGCACGGGATGTGATATCGGGGATTGAATCCTGGTCCTTGTTCTTGGCAGGTAGGCACTTAGGCCACAAGCTATCTCCCTGGAGCTCTAGGTCTGTCCACCTTGCCCCCCACCAGGGATCAAACTCAGGACCTTGCACTTGCCTGACAAGCACTTATTCCACTGAGCTATCTCCCTGGCCCCTCTACTTTTTAGTTTTGACTCTGAAATTTCTTTGGTTTAGGGGGGAAAAAGTGAAAAGGCCTGCTAGAAGAAACTCATTCTGAAGGCAAGTTATCTGCAAGACCATTCATGGCCTCCAGTGTGACAAGGTGAACAGTAGAATAGAGGAGGGGCCCCCAGGAGTGGCCACATGGTAGGCCCACTAGGCTGTCATTTCAGAATATTCAGGCCTTAAAGACTCCCTTTGTGACACAGACACAGCTCAGCTAGCGTGGGTGGATTTATTCATGAGCATACAGAATGCAGAAGTACAAGCCAAGGGGTCTGTCAAGCACTGTGTGCACACCAGGTGGAACCACTCCAGCCTGAGGGAGCCCCAGGTAGCCCTCTCCCAGGGGACTGTCACCTGCACAGCACCCCTTGCTCTGAATTAAGGCAGTGTGGCTCTGGGCACCTGGGTACCTTAATTGGTAGTATATGACCTGCAACCCTGCCCCAACAGCTGACCATGTGTAGCCTGCCACAAGGCCCTCCTGTAGGGCTCCCTGACTCCGGAACATTCTCTCAGAGAGCTGTTAAAATCCCAGCCCCCAAGGTGGACTGCAGCAGTGACCACACATATGGGTAGCTTGGGTTCCTACTGTTCTAACCAGAACCCCCTCAAATATAGCCCCGAATGTGACTTCCATATCCCCCTTTGGCCTCAAGGAGGGTCCCTGCACCCTAGCCTCTTCTATACTGCACTTCATCGCTCACCCCTATTGATGTGCGCTCTTCCCTCTACAGAAATCTGAGAGGCCTATGTGTGATCTCTGTGTTAGAGACAGCTCAGAGTATGAGGTGCCTTGGCAGCTGAGTCCCACTGCAGAACGGAAGTCGCCACCACCTCCCCTATCTTAGCCCCAAGTCGATGGGCCTTGGGTTCTTTGTTGGTCTCTATCTTGTGACACTGCCAGCAGAATATTAGTCACAGCCTAATGTGCTATGCACTCAGCCTCCCAGTCTTAGAAACGCTACCAAGCACTGCTAAAATGGCCTTCCTGGGGACAGTGTCTCACAAGAAACAGACAAGGCCATCTCTTGCTACCCACCTCTTCTGGTGGAGCTGAGTCTCTACTGTCCCTTAGTGGTCAAAGAACATATGCAAAGCAAGAGACTAGATGCTCCACACCCTCATCCTGACTACTGTGCACTTTGGTCTGTGAACCCTGTGCACCCCCTTTTCCAAATATACCTGAGTGAGGCAGAAAGTAAGGGGGTTATAAAACTCATTCTAGGAGGCTTGGGATAGTGAGAGACATTCTCCAGCAGGGTCACAGGGTTTGTGACTGTCAGCAACATTCGCCCTAAAGACTTGCTAGAAAGCCCAGTCCTTGTGGATTTTTCCAGGGTCTTGCACATGGCAAGAGCTGGTAAAAGTCCACCCTGGCACAGAGGAGTCTGGCTTTAGGGTGGCCCAGGCTGGAAAGGAGGCCTCTACACTGTCCACTGGGTTACTGCTTCTGGGGGCTGGCTCGGGTCTCTTCCCATCTTGCCTGATGGCTTTGGGTCTCCATGCAAGCCACACCACACACCAGTACATCAAAGGCACCCACTGCTGTCTCCATAGTGTATAAGGCTGAACAAGGCATGCGACTGCCCTCGCAATAGCTCCCTCTGCTGGGAACCACAAAAACTACAGGCGTCTGGGGCCAGCCCTACTACCTTGAATGCAACCTCAGCTCAAATTGAGTACAGAAGCCAGCCAAGACTACAGAAATATAAATAAATAAATATATGTAGGATGAAGCAGTTTTCCTCTAATTAGGGAGGAGCCAATCACTAGACAGCTGTCTAGGTCCAGGGGTTCTGGAAGCCATGATCCTGTTAACAACCTGCTACATTCCCTGCCATAGCCAGGGAGGTGTTAACCTGAAGAGGGACAGAGGGATCTGAATTATGCTTTTCCAGGTCACACCTATGAGCCTACCTAAGCGCTGGGACGAGGAAGGCAACATGGAATTTCCTGAGCTGTCCCAGTTAAATTCTCCTTCAGAGTCCCAGCTTCGAGCCATGAACTACTATCCTCTACCTCCACACAACACTGCCCAGCACATCCCAGACACAAAAGCTGTCCCTTTCCTCAAAAACCACAACAAACACCAGTCAAGACATCTGCCAGTGTGCTTCTCAGCAAGCTCCATCAGCCATTGTTATGAACCCTAACTCCTCTGCTTCCCTCTTACTAAAACAGCTTTTCCAAACCAGGCACCAACAATGGAGGAAAACTGGAATTCCACTCATCAACCTCATAGCCAATGGGCCTCTGGCTCAAGAAGCACTGAGTGAGGGCTTCTTGCGAGTCCTTGATCACAGAGGGCCAGTGCCTCCACAGATTCTGGGGTGACAGTTGTCCTCACTATGCTCGAGCTATGCAGGCCTCCAGGCTCTGTGTGCCTCATGGTAAGCAGGGTCTGTGCTGGAGGTTTCTGTCTACTGGAGGGTACAAGAAGACTCCCCAAGGCAGCACCAGCAGCAGGAGCATGTGGAGGAGGCCATAGGCTTAGGAGGAATGAGGTCTAGGTCCTCGTCGTCTGGAATCTCATCCAGGTGGTAGCCATCCTGTAGCAGTTGTCGGTTTACATCCTGGTTCACCTGCTAAAAGAAGGCAAGGTGGGAACTAAGCCAAGATGCCAAGCAGATACAGGTGCTACCCACATTCTTATGCCAGAGCTTCCTGTCCATGCTCCACCCGACACATCCTGGGTCTATAGGAAGCACCACTTTCTCCAAGCTGTGCCTTCACTAATATCCTCCAGGCTTCAAGTCAGTGACCCCCCCAGGGGAGCTGCTATCTGGAGAATCCTAACACAGCTGATACCAGTTTCAAATTCTAGATTGTTTTACATTTCCCTGATCTTTCCCACAGGAACCCAGATGTCCCTGTCAAGGCCGAAGGATATGAGACCATGACCACAGAACAATGGCTACAGCAGTAGAGGATTATGGCTTACAGTGGGAAGGGGCAGGTTTGCCTATAGTGCTTGTTAGACCTGCCACCATTTCTGGCTCTGGCTGAGAGCTGGGTCCCTGCAGTACGGAACCAGTCAGCCTGGTTTCACCAGTTCCACTGGACTGACAAAATAAGCAAGTGTAAGACTTCCTTTGGTTCTTGACTAAGTTTACTTTTATTTTAACACTTTTAGCTCTTAGACATTCAAGAACAATGCTGTCTAAATTGCCTTTTTTCTCTTTCATGGAAACTCAAAAGATTACATAGTGGCTTTCCAGAGGCTGAGCCAGGAGGACTGCTCCACGTTTGAAGCCAGCCTAGGCTACAAAGTGAGTTCAAGGCCAGCCTGAACTGTATAGTGAAACCCTGTCTCAAAAAAACCAAAAAAAAAAAAAAAAAGTACAGAAGCTACTGAAGGGTTTGGATTTGTGTGTGTGCTGGAAGGGCAGCAAGCAAGCAATGTTTCTTAAAGGTATTAAATAATTACAACAAGCATTCAAGCAAGCAGAGGCCAGTCAACGCTTAGCTGGGATCTATCAGGAGGAATCATTATGTCCAACCCTGAGGATGCATGTCCCCTGGTTGTCAACAGCCCTCCTAAGATGCCTATACCTCTGTAGGGGAAGAGGGCAGAATGCAAGAGCAGAGAACAGACCAGAATTCTGGCACAGTGCTGTATACACAGCAGGCACCACACCCACATCTGGCAATGGTGATGAGGCTGCCCACAGTGTGGCCCCGCGCAAAAGGGCGATCTGGACTTGCCTCGGCAGAGGAGTACCCGGAGGAGTATCTGGATTCCTGCTCCCCATCACTAGGAGAAGAGGAACATGGTCAGATCAGAGAAGGCCTGCTGAGCACAATGGCAGGTGGCAGGTGGCGAGGTGGACAGAGTACAAGGGGGTCCAGGTGATTTGTGAACTGACCACACACCAGAGTATTCAACCCCAAGCCAGAGGAATGCAACTGCTGCCTCAATGGGCTCCAGCAGGAACAGGGTCACTCTCACTAATGGTGTACACCTAACAGGTCAGGGTGGTTCCCCAGGACGCGGGTACTCCAGACCCTAGAGCAATGTGACTACTTAGCCGTCGTGGGAAGGGCCAGTCTCGGGTGTGCACAGAGCCTCGACATAGATGGGAAACAAGCAAAGGAACCAGGTGCTACAGTGCTGTCCCAGAGGCACGCTCACCTGTCAGAGTCGAGGGACACCAGGTTCTCATCTGGACTCTGGCTCAGAGCAGTATAGCCTTTGTTAAACTTCACTGACCTGAGGAACAAGGAGAGACCATGCACAAATTAAAGCCCAGGCACTGTGCAGGGAAAGCCGGAGTCGTCCTTATGGAAAAAGAAAACTACATACTCCAGGTACAGTGCCTGCATTCCAGGTAGTCTACCTGCGGTACTGGACACACAGCCAGCTCTCTGCAGCTCCAGCAGCTGGCTAGGCACACGCACCTCAGTATACATATAATCCTCACTACACACGAGCGCACACGCCCGCCCGCCCGCCTGCCCTGTGCTCCTGGAAGAGGCACACCAGACCTTTCAGGAGCCAGGAAAAACACTCCTACGCCTTATTTAACCAGAGGACCAAAAGCAAATCTCTTCGACTTTGCGGGCTTCACTCTTAGCTGCAAAGGGAAGCACTGGACAAGTTCTTACCAAGCTCTGGGAGCCTGACCAGAACACTGCACAAGCCTTTCCCACGCGCTGTCCATCTCTCCTGGGGCCTGCAGCACCAGACTCCTCGCTTAGACACTCCGAGGAGGACCCCTTGCACTGCCTGACTCCCTCATTCCAAAGTCCCCTTCTGGGGATGTCACTGCCTTAAGGGGAAAGAGGATGGCGCTCCTCTACTATGTTTCAGAATGAACCCGACGGCGCGATCAGAGGAACCCCGGACACGGCCGTGACCCTGAAGCCAAGGATGCAGCCTTCGGGGATGAGGCCGGCCGGGGTCTGAGATGTCGCCGCAGACCTTTTCGCTGAAGAGTCGGGGCGGCTCGGCAGGGCGCCCAACACGCCTTTCCTCCGCAGCATTGCCTTGGCCAGGTCCCGGTGCTTCTCTGGAAAGCAAAGGGCCCGGTCAGCCGCGTCTCCGCATCTCTCAGACCCCTGTCCCCTGGACCTCCCGGGACCCACCCCACGCACGCAGCTTGGCCTGGACGGACGGCACGCGCGCCACCGTGTACGGCCCGCGCTTTTCCACGGCCGCGCGCTCCCCGCCTCTCCTTCCCGAGGACAGGCCAGCAGCTCCCGCCGCACGCTCCGGGCCCATGCCTGGCCGGGACCCGACAGTGGAAGAGTGAGCCGCGCGGCCGCCAGGCTCCGCAGTCGCCATGGGTAGGCCTCGCCCCGCCGCTCACGCCGCCCCGCCCTCGGGCTCCCGAGCCAGCGGCGGGCGGGCGCTTCGGCAGCAAGATGGCGGCGCGCGTGCGCGGTCGGTCCCTCGGCGCTGTCCGGTGGGAATACAGGGCGTGCGTCGCAACAGTTCCACCGTGCGAGGAGCGCGGCAGGATCCTTGCTGCTGGTCCCGGGCGCTGTGGGATTGAAGTCCCTGTGACCTCAGTCCGGCGCTCAGTTCTGTCTCTGTGAGAAAGATACACAGTGCTGCTGGCGTGCGACTGTGATTCCAGGACCGCGAAGCTGCCTGGAACTACCTACCGAGACCCTCCCAAACCCAGAGTAGGAGGGAGAGAGGTACCAGGTTCCTGCTCCAGGCTAGCAAACTGGCGCGAGTTCAGGAAGGTGACACCACCAGCGACAGTGACTGAACAGCGGGAGCCAGCGTCAAACCTCTCATCCTCGTTTTTGCTGTACTGAGGGTTGAATCCAGAACCTCCACATCTCAAGCCTATTTAGAATTTTTTGAGACGGGATCTCGCTAAATCAAAAGGATGTATTTGAATTTGCGATCCTCCTACCTCAGCCTTCCAAAATGCTGGAATGGTGCTGCATGAGACCTTGGTTCTGGCCGCGCCTCGCCACATCTCCTCAAATTCATGTAAAATAGAGCCTGGGATGGAGGTGAAGCTGGGAGGGAGCCCTTACCTGGCAGGTGCAAACCCCTTTGGCAAAATAAATATAGTGGATGGGGTCGGGGAGATAGCTCAGCAGTCTAAAACACCTCTTAAGCAAGCTTAGGCAGCATAGGGACTGCGGTTGGATACCTGGCACCATATGCCGCGCCAGCCCAGCCCCTAGAGTAGGCTGAGCCATCCACAATAAATAAAAATAAAATAAAAAATGGTGGAGCCCGTTCTTTTCCAGCTGTGTAGTAACAAACTGGCTAGGCGAGGGCTTTGTCAGGGTGCTGGCTTCTTGTGCCCCCAAGGCCTGCTGAAAATGAGCCTCGGATCCTTGAATCCTTGGATCTCAGTGCTGTGTCCTGGTCCGTTTGTCAGCCTCTATAGGCTCGGACAGAAGCTTGAGCTAGACCCTAATTGTTAGCTGGATTATGTTGTGAGCAGGATGGGAAAAAGGGAAGAATTCAGTCCTGGATTTGGAAAATCAGGAACATATGGATCCCACCCCTTGCATGATCTGTTGGGCTGGCTGCTTTTGACCCCCAGAAATTTCAGTTACATCTCGTCTAGCTGAATGCTTAAGGGGATCTCCCTGGGAAGCCAGTCTTACTCCTTTTATACAAATTCACCAATCAACCGTCAGCCTGGAATTTGAACCCAGATCCTCATGAATTCCATTTTTTTTTCTCCCGGTTTTGCTACTTGTCACAGCTACTATGCAGGCTGAGTCAGGAGGTTCAATCGATTTGTATGTTTTATCTACAAGGGGGTGATGGAAACATAGTGCTTGAAGTTAAAAAAAAAAAAGCAAAAGACATTGCTAAGGATGGGTTGTGTTGGAAGTGAGAGGGATTATTTTGAGGGAAGTTCATGTGTCTTCTACTGTAATCAATTTGTTCTTTTTCATTTTATGCTGCATTTATTCCCAAACTGTAAATTCTTGTTTCTTCAGTTTTTTTCTAATGCATTTAGTACAGGGTCTACAGGGTCTCACTACATAGATGGGACTTGTAGTGATTCTCCTCTTTTCAGCCTGTCAAGCACTGGGATTACCCTCACCACCAGGCTCAGTCGATTTCTTAGTGTGCCCAGGGGCAGGGCCACCACAGCAAGCTAGGGATTGAACCCCAGTACCTGTCTCTACTTGAACAGACCCTTTAATCTGCTGAGCTATCTAGCTGGCCCTCTTCAGTTTCTTCTAGAATGTCCTTTTCCTCTCTGGTTTGCAACATTTCTGAGTAAATCTCTCGGTGAGCAACATGTTAGCCAGCAGTGCACCTTGGGCACATTGTTTACCTGGAGGTGTTGAATCACCAGAGTGCCTATGTCTAAACCTTCCAAGTCAGTGGTACTTTGCATTTTTAAACATATGCACCAAAAATCAAGCAGTGTGTAGAATAAGCGCTTCCCTGGCAAGTGCAAGGGCCTGAGTTCAATCCCCAGTTTAAAAAAAAAAAAAAATCAAGCATTGTGTTTGGGCCACTGACCCACAGTCTAGCCCCACTGTGTGCCCCGGGCACAGCTGGCACCCCACCATCACCATCACATCAGGACAGCACTCAATGCTTTTGTCTTTTTGAGACAGGATCTTGCTATGTAGTTCAGGCGGGCTTTGAGCTTTCTTTGTAGCCCAGGCTGGTCTTGAATTCAGTGATCCTCCTGAGTGCTGGGATTACAGGCGTGCACCACCACACTGAGTGCAGCACTTGATGCTTCTGCAGCAGACAGAGAGCCTTTAGATGCTTGGCCGTCCAGTATGGATGCTCTTGACGGCAGGGCAGGGCAGCTCCGCTGGTGTTCGTAAAAGGGAACACGAAGATCTGACCTCTTATGGGTATGAAAAGGCTTACTGGTAACTTTAAAACATTTACCACGTATTTGAACTACTGCTCATTATCAACTGTTTATGGCAATTTCTGTCCAATAAAGTTATTTACCTTCCTCGATCTGATACCACCCAACATGTGGCTCTTCCTTTCAAAATGACCACAAGAGGGGAAAGTTTTGAATGGATTCAGGACATTAGGACAGCTACAACAACTTGACTAAAGAGCATTTCCAGGACTGATGTACAAAGTAGCAAGAATGATGGGATAAGTGCAGAAGTGAAGAATAGTCTGACGATTAATGGCAGGATTAATGGCAGTGTCTTTTATTGTTTTGGTTTTTTTGCGGAACCAGGGATTGAACTCAGACCCTTGCACTTGCTAGGGAAGTGCTCATTCCACTGAGCCATCTCCCTGGCCCCCAGTGTCTTTTATTGTAATAAATTTTTTGTACTTTACTGAAAATCAGCAATAATTATATAGCAAATTAAAAACTGTAGACATATTTTTGGGTTTTTGTCTTTTTTTTTTTTTTTGAGGCAGGATCTGGCTATGTAGCTCAGGTTGGTATTAAACCCATGGCAATCCTCCTGCCTCAGCTTCCTGAGTGCACCAATACACCCAGCTTTACTGTAGTAATTTTTAAAAATTAAGCATTAACTGTATTTTTGACCACCTTCCTTTCTTCCTTCCACTTTGGTACTGGGACTTTGAATCCAGTACCTCCTCACTGGATTGTCTTTTTTTTTGCGGAACCGGGGATTGAACTCAGGCCCTTGCGCTTGCCAGGGAAGCGCTTATTCCACTGAGCCATCTCCCCGACCTGGATTGTCTTTTTGAGACAAGGACTCACAATAAAGTTTGAGTTGGTCTTGAACTCATTTTGTAGCCCAGGCTGGCCTCAAACTCACAGCAATCCTCCTGCCTAAGCCTCCAAGTGCTGGGATTATAGGCAAGCGCCACCATATCTGGCAAGACAGGCTCTTCTAATTACTCTATCTCAAAAAGCAAGTCTACTAGCTGTTCCTTGTTATAGCTAGGACTCTCCTACCAGCTTCCAGGGTAGCTGAGATTACAGGCATGGACCACTACATCTGTCTATACCAAGCTTTTCTTCTTTTTGGCGGAACCGGGGGTTGAACTCAGGCCCTTGTGCTTGCCAGGCAAGGAGCTTTTCTATTTTTGATATTTTAAAACAGGATGTATGTAAGCCAGGCTGGCCATGAATGCTTGATCATCCTGCCTCAGCCTCTGGGATGCAGTAATTACAGGCATGTACCTTCCATGCCTGACCTAGCCTAGCTCTTAAAGCCTAGAGAAGTGTCATTATATGGGAAGAAAAACTTACTTTCATGTCTGTTGGAGTACTTAGGAATGAAGTGTCATTCCCGCAACTTTTTAGTTATGGGGGGGGGGGAGTATGAGGGGAGCCAGGTGTGGTGGTACATGCCTATAATTCCAGCACTCAGGAGGCTGAGGCAGGGGGATTGCTGTGAGTTTGAGGTTAGTCTGGGACCTGCCTGAACTACAAAGTGAGCTCAAGGCCAGCCTGAACTGCCCAGTGAGACCCTGTCTCAAAAAAAAAAAAAAAAAAGAAAAAGAAAAAGAAAAGAAAAAAAAGAGGGGAATGGGGAAAAAAAATTTGAAATACATTATGTACAGGTACAAATTCCCTATGATGAATGTGATCAATCTGTATGATGCATATGTATTTTTTTAAAGTTAAATAGAAAAAATATCTGTATACAAGGCACAGAGATAAATTTATTGGCTTGCTAAATTTATTGGCAAACTATTTGAGAATTTTCAAAGTAAAACATAGGAAAATAAAAAGAGAGCTCATTTTGTTAGGATAGAATCTTTACAGCTGTTCCACCCTGGGCAATTTACTGAGACTCTGTCTCAAAATAAAAAATATCTGAAAGGCCAGGAGCTCAGTAGCACAGCACCAGCCTGGAAAGCACAAGGTTTCAAGTTCAATTTCTGGTACCAAAAAAAAAAAAAAAAGCTGAGAAATGAAAAAATACTTTGGGGGCTGGTGAGATGGCTCAGTGGTCTAAAGCACCTACTTAGAACAAGTTTAGCAAAAACACATGGACCACGGTTCAATCCCCAGCACCACATGCCGGCCGGCCCCGCCCCCTGGTGGGCTGAGCTGGCCACACACACACACACACGCAAAAATAAATAAATAAAAATTAAAAAAAAAAAAAATACTTTGGAACTCCCTGGGTTCAATCCTTAGTACCGAGAAACCAAACCTTGCTTTAAAGATTATTTCTATTTTATATTAAGGATTGTCAGACTTTTTTCTGAAATCAGATAAAGGCCAAACAATATATTTTTTTTGACCTTGTGAATCGTGAAGTCCCTGTCCCAAGCGTTCATGTCATGACAATACAAAGCAAAGCAGCCGGGCATGGGGGGGAGGGGTGCAGCCCAGGCCAGGTGTGGGCACATCACTACAGTCCCAGCAGCCTAGGAAGTTGAGGCAGCAGGACTACAGCAATGAGCCCAGACCCTGTCTGAAGATAAAAACATAGGGGCCAGGGAGATGGCTC